CCTACTTTTGAGAACTGCTAAGGACCAGATGATTTTTATGATGTCCTGATACATAAAACCACGCAACTCAAAGAGGGTGTACTTTCTTTTTCACACAACTGTATTTTGTTATTTTGAGCTGCCTTGATACTGTTCATTGGACCCAACAGTTAAAATGTTTTTATAAATAAATAAACTGAGGAAAAGGAGCTATAGGTGTTTTATTGACTGCTATTATTATTATTACTTGCTACACTTTTCACTGTTGTTCAATACCCATCTTAATTTATCCATTTCTGTTCACTCAGAAGACAAACAGCTGCTTTATATCAGTAAGAATTCACTTCCAGTGATTATGCTGATCTCAGATATTTCTCTCCAGGCTTAAGGATAGAAGCAATCTTTCAGGCTGATTCTTAGCTAAGTACAGTTTGTACAGCTAGAATATATATGCCATGAACTGCCTTAGAAATATATGGTGGGAGAACTGGACATTGATGATTTTTATATACTCATAACTAGTATTTAGCTTTATTACCAATTTCCAAATAGTACTTCAGTTTGGTAGTTACGTAAGTAAGAGGAAGCTAAGTAAGCCACCTGAGACTCTAATGGTATGATACTTAACTTCACCCTTTTATTGAAGACTGCAATAAGAGGTTAACCCCCCCCCTTTTTTTTGAGTATCTAGCTAAGCAGGCCCACACCCAAGCTCAAAATGACAGGCACCAGGTTTCTTCTTGGAAGTAGCAGGGCCTCTTCCTGAGGCTCCTAGTCTTTCTGTCCCATGATGTGAAGCCGCTCTGCAGCAGCACCCATTCTAGTAGCCAGAGGAAGGCAAAGAAGACAGCGAGCATCCTTGGACTGAGCCAAGGGTATTCCTGGAGCTGTGACAAATTATTGGCAGAGTAGAAAGGGGCTGGCAACTTAGAATACACCAACACATCATCTTTCCTCGTTTTCAGATGGCTCACCATGTGTCTGTTAGCTAAAATAGTGCAAGGAAAGTGGCCATTTCCCACAGGATGAGAGATGAATACATTGAAATTTAACTCAATTTGATTGAGATTAGAAATTGAATGTCTCCCTTATTCATTCTTAAATTAAAAAAAAATATCAGGATCACTGTCTTAGGCAATCTTGTTTTAACATTATTTTTTTTAATTGAGCTCTTCTGGAGGGTATTCGGGTTGCATTCATTAAATTGCTGGCTACTGGACAGTTTATTATGTTTTATATGTTTACATGTTCCTAATTTAAAACTAAATGTGGATGTTTTAATTGCTGTGGTATATCCTGTGTACCTCCAAGAGGCCTTCAGGATTGCAGCAGAATAAAATGTTACAATTTTTTTTTTAGTATTATATTTTATTTTATTTTTTATTATTTTAAATGCTCTATTGATTCTATCCCCAAATTGTTCAAGGTAGCATAAAATCTGTTATGAAACTATCAGTATTTAACATTATGTAAAACCGTGTAGGTACAAATTACTACCCTAACAAAGTCAAACATAAAGCAAAATATTTAGGCAAATGCATCCTCACGCTACTGATTTGTAAATCTAGGGCACTTCCACATGGAGTCCACCCTTTTCTGGTCTCACATTGTGGTCTGTGTTTGGCAGATAAGCCAGTTTATTCCAGACTCAGTAGTCTTTCTGTTTACAGTGCCAAAGTTCTGAAGAGCTTTTGGACAGATCATTTCCTCATTAGTGGGAATTTGGCCTACTTCACCTTCCAGTTGTTAGGGTCCAGCCAATCTGTACCCTCAATCCACAGAGGTTCAGTCACTGTATGAAACAAAGATGTGGTGCCTCAACAGTTTTGCATCTCTTGGTTGTTTGGTAGTTCATTTGCAATTTAGCAATGTATACAACATTAAGTTAAACTCTGGATGCATTGGCACTCACAGAATGTTATAGTTTACATTCTGTCATTGCACAGCTGAAAGAACAGATTGGCTGATAGTGTTTTCAGCATGTCAAGGTTAATAGCAGTGGAGTTGATCATTGGTCAGCTTCCAACTGCGTTGAGCAATTGGAAGTGCCCCTAGATTTCTCCGTATCTCATATCTGCTGCTGAATGTGTAATTTAGGTTATAACTAAAATCTGTTTGTATTAAGCAATGGGCAGTAGGTTTTTAAAAAGCAGATAATGGCAGTGACACATAATAACAGTGGGATAATTCTAGTAGACTTTCATTTGCACAACAGAATGTCATCTTCCTTCCTTCTTACGCATGTCCCCAATTCTGTTCTGTCATTGGTGCTCATTGGACAGCATTGAATACAACCAATAGTGATTCCTTCATGCCAGCAATTTCTTATGTATTTTATGAACTGTGAATTTTGTATCATGACTGAATGTGTTAAGCACTTAATTTTTTCTTCATGTGTAAGATTTTGTATATATGATTATACCAGCAACTGCCTTTTACTGTTTGTTAATCTCTATTTTAGGACTAAGTTGATTTCATCTCCTTTTATGATAAAATATTACTCAGTTTCAATTATTTCTTAGTTATCAGGAACTCCTAATAAACTGTTTATGTAAAGAATGAGAAGCAAACTCTCATGTTCTCTGATTTAAATGATCTGATTAAGGTTCTTAGAAGTCATGTAGCTTGTTACAAAATTAAGCTGTCAAAATAGAATACATTGTCATAAATATGAACAGAATGTATTGGTGTAAATCAGTTTACATCATCCCAAACTGATACTGTTTAGCAGGTACAGCCATCATGTATTAAAAACTGGAAAGGGAAACAGTTTTTCATCTCAGTTCCTGAATGTCTGTACAATTACATTCAGGTTTTGATGCTGAGAAACTTAGGAAAAAAAGTCTGTGTGTGTGTGTGTGAGAGAGAGAGAGAGAGAACTATCACGATGAAAAGTATTTTGCCATTTTAAGCAGGATCTAGACAGACCTGTGAGAATGGTTGAGTTTGGTTTCAAATTATTTGCCCAACTGAAAAACACTCCTAATATATGTGACATCCAATTAATTTGGGATGTCTTAATAGTAAATGTTTTTGCCCTTCAAATTGCTCACCAAGCCATGTCCTTTGTAGGCAGCCATTTGGAGGCTCTCCAGATGACTTGATGTGTCAGCATCCTGCCTCTGAGTCTCCAAGCGATGAAGGAACTCTCCTTGATCAACTTTATATGGCACTAAGGAATTTTGATGGTCTAGAAGAAATTGATAGAGCTCTTGGGATACCAGAACTTGTCAGCCAGGTATTGCTATATTGGATATTTCTAAAAATGTACATGCAAGCTTTCTATGTCATGGACTTGAACTTCCTGAAATTAATATATAAAAATAATTTCCTTGTTTAACACCATTCCTCATCTGCTGTACAGTGCTGCATCAGGCAATATGCTGCATTGATAATATGCCTCATGTCCTCCAATATGATTGCTATTGTAATGACAATATAGGGAATGATAGATTATGGTTTGCTTTGTATGCCGTGGCTTCTGGCTACTTGACATGGAAGCAAGTCCTTTCTGAAGTGACACCTGTACAATGAAGTAACCATGTTCTCTTGAAACAGCAAGCTAATGCTAACATATTTTAAACATTTCTTCGTTTAAAAAAAACCTCTCTTTTTATGTTGACTTTTCCCAGCTAGTAATTCATCTAGTATGGGCTGTTTTATTTTGTGATATTGTTTTTAAAATGTATATTAACAGAAGATTTTTTTTAATGGGAAATTGTCCAGAAATATTTTAATAAGTAAGTACATTATGAGTGGACAGAAAAGGCTTCAGCATGGAAAATAAACTGTCAGACAAGCTGCATTACAGAAAACTGTGGGGAAAGAATTAACCTATCTATCTGTATCACTTTTAACCCTAGGCTGCTTAGAGTTCTATCACAGCTGTCACGGAATCCAAACTGGGTTTAGGTGTCTCAGCTATGCTTCTCCATGTTCTCTATGATGTCATATATACAGGTTCCAAATATTTATGTATATTTCTTTGCTTCTGTTCTTTAGCAGAGCCAAGCTGTAGATCCAGAATCATTCTCAAACCAGGAACCAAACATCATTCTAGAACAAAAGGCACCAGTTTTCACACAACAGTATGCATCTCAGGCTCAAATGGCCCAAGGCAATTATACACCAATGCAGGACCCAAACTTTCACCCAATGGCACAGCGGCCAGGTTATGCAGCACTACGGATGCAGCCTAGGCCTGGTCTGAGGCCTGCTGGTATAGTACAGAACCCGCCAAATCAATTGAGATTGCAATTGCAGCATAGGCTTCAAGCACAGCAGGTATTTTTTTTTTTATGTTTCTTCAATTCTTTGACCAGCACCATGATTGTAAATGGCTTCCGAAATACTTCACTTTATATATGAAATAAATGTGAACATACCTGTAAACTTTCTGATACTATTTAGTTTCATCCAGACTACTGAGTTCTTTTATACTTCCTCAGATCTAAAGTGATGCTTTTGATAATTGCTTAATGTTGTAAACTGTTTAATCTTGCAAACTATAGGGCATATATCACTTTGTTTTTTTGAAATACCCAGAAGTATTTCTATAGATAAGTTTGTAAGATATTATATCAGAGCATGTGCTTGAATTTAAAAACTCCAGAACAAAAGAATAATTCTTTCCCTCAAAATGGCAAAATCCATTTTTACAA